ATGACCAGAGTCCATGGCCATGTTCATGGAGATGTGGAGATCTGGTTTCTTTAACTGAGAGGAACTAGGCGGCGTCGTTTCGAGGCCGGAGAGATTCACTTGTCCTGTCCACCATGGATTCGCCATTAAAACCCTAAATTAAAGACGTTAATGTTCGATTATATATTTAGAGAAGTAAAACCCTAAGAAATCTACGTAGATAAAGAAAAGAAACCGAAATCTTAGAAGAGGAGATAAAGTTTTTCCAGATCTTGATTTTAAAACATTTTTACAAGTTTTTGTGTTGTGAGAAACGCAAGACAACGAAAGGTTAATTAAAAGAACACGACAAAGAATGATACTAAGCAAGAAAGAGAAAAGATGTAATGTACGCTAACTTATTAAATAAGTGGAAGCTTATATTATACATAATTACGTATACATACATTATATACGAATGAGTGTCTAGCTATACAAAAAACAAAGGAAAAAAAAAACACATCGAACCCAAGGCTTGAGACTTGAGAGAGTGACACAATTATATTTAAGAAAAAAGTCTTATTACAAATATGATACGTTATAGTATATGCATTGTAGGTTTTATTGAGAAACTTTTAATGGCATTATCTTTACAAGACGATTATTGTTATTTGAAATTTTGTCAAAAGACTCAAAAGCCAAAACTTACACATATTACCAAATTTATATCTATATAAATAAATTTACTTAACGTTACTAGGGTTTTAAGTTTTCGAATCACATGAAATTTCAAGTATAAAACTAAAATAAGAAAAATTGGTTTAGATTTTGAAAATTTACTTAACATTTTATGTCATGAATATAAAGTTTAAATCATAGTAGAGCCATACATATATTATATACGCTTCACCATCGTATTGTCACTAAATATTTTAATTGGTTAAGATAATTTTTTAAAACCTGTCATTTTATATTTTGTCTTTTTTAAGTTAGCGTTATAATTGATGTGTGGGGTCGAGCGCCGAGGTTGAACAAATGGGGCGCACGATCGTTTTCCCACTACAATATTTTATTTCGAAAGTTGAATCATAAGAGCATGTCCATCAGTAGAGTCTTAAAAAAAAAATATTAAAATACAAATGCTACTATAATATTTTATTTAACATAAATTTTTAATATAATATTATAAAAGTTTTTCAAAAATTAAGAAACCAATTTCAAAATCTCTCATTTGAAAAATTTTGAGATAGATCTCTTAATTTTTGAGAA